CTAGAATTATATATTTAAAAATGACTCATTTATAGTACAGCTTCCCACTAGAAAAAGCCTTGTGTGGTACAAAAACTAAAATGATCACAAAATTAGCATTTTCAGAAATGCTTATTTTGAAAATTAATTGAATGGTGACTGTGGGATTTTCAAATTAAAACAATTATGTAACTGGGAATGGGATTTTGGAAAAAAAAGACTGGAAAATGGGATCAAACACACCCCTCCCCCTCCCCTTTCTGGACCCTCTTAAAAAGTAATTAGGACATAAATTAAACTCACCATTGTTGATGTAGTTTGTATATATGGTGCTCTCAATGTGTTGTACCGAAAGTTAGCCAAGTTTTCTTGAATATAAAGTATCAAGTAGAATTCTTTCCCACAATCTACTCGTAATTGGTCCCAAAGGCCATACTGWATGGTGATAGGCCTGTAGAGAAAGCAGTTGATTTATATATTCATTTGGAAAGCTTGAGGATATTTTAGGTCGGAGAATATTACTTACCTATAAAGACATCGGTATATCTCTAGGTTGTTTTTTATTGGCATTGTTGCAATTCCTAAAATGGTGTTGCTATACCCATCTACAGCCATCACGCTGGTACAGCCATACATCACCAGCTTCTCATTTTGATCGTAATGAACTTTGTGCCCAAAATAATGAGCATTATAGGGTAAAAGATTGACTTGTCTTGCAGTGTTTTGCCTTCTAAGCTGCTGATAGCCCGGTGTTACTCTTGCTAAAGATGCAGAAATCCGTTTGTCGTGAACTCTTATATTTTCCACTTCTAGCTTCCCTTTTATCATTTTTCTTCCGTATGTCGGACCAACCTGTCGAAAATCATGCACTTTTAAAATACTATAGATACTTTAGATTATTGACAAAATGAAGATACCATGACTAACCTTCGATACGGCATTAAAAATAGCAACGTCAAGCTCTCCATCACTTATCTTGGTAGTCCTGTGGATTTTGTGTTTGGAACAAAATCTTCTAACACTCATCTCACTTAAACCTCTTACATTTGGAAATTGTCTTTGCAGCTCTTCGCTTATCTTTGCGTGTGACCATTTCATGTTCAGTACGAGATTTCTTACATAATCAGGATCTATATCGTCCATGACTGATACAACTTCTCTCAGAGCGCGCGCTCGCGCGCTAGTCTCCAAATAAGATTGTATCACGTGACAAATTGGCGCGAAATGAGTTGGGAGTTCCGATCCCTGTCCGATCGTCTCGAGCTGTAAACGAAATAATTGCAATGAAAATTTTGATTGGTTAGCATTCAGACGTACTGAAATCGGAATTTTGATTGACATAACACGACTGCTAAAATTCCCTGCAATACTTCCACGCTTCCTCTTCTTGCGTCGATGAACATCTAGAAGGATGGCAGAAGCAGATCCAAACTACACTTTTATAGCTCGCAATAAAGAAATTATTCTGAGAAAATCAGCTGTAACGGCCGAACGATTAGCAAAGTATTTCAACGTAAGTATAAGCATTATTTATTAATGTCAATGAGTGAAATTTCAGTTAAGCTTATACACACTTCAGTAAAGCTATTTCGGCACGAGGCTTAACCATTCTTTCTTCGTTTTGCAGTTTTCGGTCCACTCATTATACCTAAAAGAAGAGTTCGGCAACAGAGTGGAATATCCTAATCAAAACGGAAGATTCAACTTGTCTGGATTTACTGTAGAGTGTGGTTTTGAAGTGTATGGTGAAGACGAACAAAGTAACTCGGGCAACGTTACTGCAACTACAACTAACTCTTTTTCCACTATAACAAACTGGAAACCCTGGGGTAAAGACAACACAGGAAGCCAATTAGTTGGAAAGCCAAAAGCTACAGTAAAGGTTGTCTTGGCTGAGCTCAAAGATGGCAAAGTGTCGCCCAATACTAACAAGCCGCAACAATCATTTGTCCCTCTATACTCAGAA